CAGAGCCTTTCACTCCACGGCGTACGACGAGGGGCTCCAAGCGCGCTCCGGCGAGCAAACCGTCCAAGGCAACCCGGGCAGAAAATGTGCTTATGAGAGCACTTGGTATTGTGCCGGAGGATTTGGAGGGCAATGAGGACAACATCGCGGAGCTGGCGGAGATTTTTGATTCGTCGTTAAAGGGGCAACATATAAGGGTCATAGTTGCCCTGTTTGGCAAGGAAGTGCCACCGGAGTGCGAAATGACCATCGGGACGACGGTGGTGGTTGCTTGATCGTCAGTTTGGAGGCGGATGTGGGCGGTCCACTTGGTTATGGATACGAACCCACAAATTCTGTGTTGGAACGTGAGGGGGTTAAACAACCCTGCCAAAAGAAGCGCCGTTAGGGAGTTCATTGTGTCAGCGAAGGTGAACCTTGTGTGCTTGCAAGAGACCAAGATTGATGTGTTTGATCCGTTTAATGTAATGCAATGCATTGGGCCATCTTTTTATGGCTTTGACTATGTCCCGGCGATTGATACGCGTGGTGGTATCCTTTTGGGGTGGGATACAACGGTCTTGGTGGTAGATAATATCATCAGGGTTACCAATTCGCTCACCGGGCCGGTTCACAATAAGGATGGGTTGGAGTGGTGGATTACTGTGGTCTATGGTCCGCAAGTGATGAAGCCACGATGCAATTTCTTCTAGATTTGCACAACACGAGGGCAGCGTGCCCGGGACCATGGGTGCTTCTGGGTGATTTCAACATGATCTTGCATGCTGATGAGAAGAGTAATAACAACCTCAACCGACGGATCATGAGGAAGTTCAGGGAGTTTGTGGATAATTGTGAGCTCAAAGATGTCTACATGCATGGGAGGCGTTTCACGTGGACTAACGAGAGGGAACAACTGGTTCTGACCAAGATTGACAGAGTGCTCGTTTCAGTTGATTGGGATCTGAGTTTCTCGGATGTCCTTTTACAAGCCCTCTCCTCCAATATTTCTGATCATGCCCCCCTACATCTCACCACGTCGGCTCCGTTCTGCTCTAAGAAAAGATTTTGCTTTGAGATGTACTGGACGAGACTAGAGGGCTTCGAGGAGGTAGTTAGGGAGGCTTGGGTGTGTGAGGATAGTATTGTTGACCCCTATAAGAGGCTAGACTCCCTCCTTCGTAACACCGCGGCAGCTCTACAAGCTTGGGGGCGAAGAAAGGCAGGGCACATCAAGACCCAGATGGCGGTGGCCAATTACATTATCTTGAGGCTGGATCGTGCTATGGAAGATAGGGTGCTCACGACCGAGGAACGATGGCTTAGGGGAACTGTAAAGCATGCATTGTTAGGACTGTCCTCCTTGCAACGCACCATCGATCGACAGCGATCGAGACTACGCTGGATCCGAGAAGGAGACGCCAACACCAAACTTTTTTAAGTGGTGGCTAATGGACAAAGATCAAAAAACTTTATCCCTCACATTAAACATAACAACGAGCTGATCACGGATCAACAAAGGAAGGAGGAGGTGTTTACGGATGCTTTCCAACAACTTCTGGGCTGTGCTTCCACAAGAGAGGTTGACCTAAACCTGAACTTCCTAGAGCTTGACAGACACGACCTGTCCGAACTGGACGAAATTTTTACGGAGGAGGAAGTGTGGGATACGATAAAGGAGGTGCTGCCTGATCGCGCACCCGGGCCTGATGGGTTTATTGCTGCCTTTTATCAGAGGGCTTGGCCCATTATCAAGAACGACCTGATGGCAGTGTTCATGAAGCTTTATGTGGAGGACGGTAGGGGTTTTGGCAAGTTGAATCGTGCTCATATCGTCCTCGTCCCGAAAAAACTGGATGCTGAGGTCGTGGGGGACTTCCGCCCTATAAGCTTGACCCACAGTGCTGCAAAATTATTTGCGAAGATGCTGGCGAATCGAGTTAGGCGCAGGATGCCTGAGACCGTGGCTGTAAATCAATCTGCCTTCATAAGTGGCCGAGACCTGCACGATAACTTCCTTCTTGTTCGGCAAGTTGCGAGGAAACTTCATGCTCGTAAGGAAGCTGTAGTCTTTCTGAAACTTGATATCTCAAAAGCTTTCGACTCGATCGCTTGGCCATTCCTCCTCGAGGTGATGAAGCAGAAAGGCTTTGGGACCAAATGGATGTCCTGGATCTCCATCTTGTTAAGGACGACATCTACTAAAGTGATTGTCAACGGGATCCCAGGAAGAAGCTTCCAGCACTTGAAAGGGCTACGGCAAGGAGACCCGGTCTCCCCCCTCCTTTTTGTCATTGCTATGGACGTCCTCTCTAAGATCATGACTAAAGCTGCTGATTTGGGTGTGTTTAGTAGGATTGCTGGGGTCTCTGCTACCCAGACGATCTCGATTTGCGCGGACGATGTGGCGATGTTTGTCAAGCCCTGTGAGGTGGATCTGAGATTTGTTAAAGAAGCCCTCAAGATGTTCGGTGACACGTCGGGCCTTCGAGTGAACTATCTCAAGTCATCTGCGGTGATGATCCATGGGGATGCTTCTGACAAGGATAGGGTGGTTGCTTTGCTGCAATGCAATATGGGAACTTTTCCTTGCAAGTATCTAGGGTTGCAGCTCGCAATTCACCAACTTAGCCAAGCGGACTGGCAACCGATGGTAGATCAAGCTAAGCGTTGCGCCCCGGCCTGGCAACGTGGGCTGCTCCAGAGATCAGGCCGTCTTGTGCTCGTTAAGTCAGTGGTGGCCGCTAAACCCATACATTTTCATGATTGCTGAGGCGCCAGCCTGGGTGTTGGAGGAAATCGATCAATGGATGCGTGCATTTTTCTAGGCTGGGAAGGACAAGGTGAACGGTGGGCAGTGCTTGGTGGCCTGGAACACGATCTGTAGGCCCACGTCCCTTGGGGGTCTGGGAGTCGGAAACCTGGAGCTGCAGGGGATCACACTTAGAGTCAGATGGGAGTGGCTGAACGGACGGATCCGCAAAGACCATGCCAAGGCTTAGCTATGACTGAGGACAGACAAGCACGCGCTGTGTTTAATAGCCTAGTCAAGATTGAGGTTGGAGATGGCACCAAGGTGTTGTTCTGGAGAGACAGATGGATTCACGGTTTTGCGGCCGCGGATATTGCTCCGCTTATCCATGCCATGGTGGCTACTCGCACGAGGAACAGGCGCACAGTCAGTGAGGGCATGGACAATGGCAAATGGTTGCAGGATGTGACTGGTGATCTCACATTTGTTGGGCATATGCAGCTTGTGCACCTCAACTTGGCTATTAGCACGATCGAGCATGATCCGAACAGGCCGGACTGCTTCTCTTGGCCGGCAGACCCCTCGGGTAGTTACACTGCGAGATCCACATATCATCGCCTTTGCCTCGGAACCCAGAGGGTGCCTTTCGCTTCTTGCATCTGGAAGAGTTGGGCACTTCTTAAGTGCAAGATTTTTGCTTGGCTGGCCGTGCAACATCGCATTTGGACCTCGGATCGACGTGCTAAGCATGGGCTGCAGGATAGACCTTCAGCGTGTTACACGTGCCTGCAGGAAGAGGACAACGCTGAGCATATTTTGATCCAGTGTGTGTACGCTAGGGAAGTTTGGCATGAGGGTCTCCAAACCCTCAACTTGCAGGTCACGAGGCCGACTGAGAACGACAATCTGCTGGATTGGTGGTTGTTAGCAAGGAAGGAGAGTGTCAAGGCTAACAAACGGGCCTTTGACACATTTGTGATTGTGGTGGCTTGGGCCCTGTGGAAGCAAAGGAATGCTCGCGTATTTAATAGAAGAAGCCAACAGAGATCCCCAATTGAATTGGTAGACGCGATTCTTCGTGAGCTGCACGACTGGATTGAGGCCGGAGTTGGAGGTGTTGGGTTGTCACGTTTCGTGAGAAAGTAGGCTTAGGATCTTAGGTGTGGGTTGTTTTCGGGCGTTGCCTGATAATGAATGTGTGCATCCATTCGTAAGATATCTCTTGTAAATCTTATTCTCTTTTCTATAAAAATATGGTACGCTATTGGCGTACTTAAAAAAAGGTTTTTCAAAAATATGTAAGAGACGACTAGACGTGTGGCGGGCGCTAAACTGTTTCGAAACCGATTCTTTTAATAAATGAGAATAGGAAGACCTGAGACTTGTTAATAAAAACGGTAATACCGTCGACCAGATTGGTTTGGCTCATCGACAAGGTGAAACCGGGACACCGGGAGGGGCGCTCCGTGGATTCTTGCTCCCACAAAGATCTGCCATTCGAGGCTAAGCTGCAAGTGGGGACTTGAGGCTTGCTTTAACATGGGCGTGTCGGCCACTTTATAGGCTTTGCGTACGAGCCCCTGATTTGATTCCAATACATCGGCACCACCTACTGAAAAAGGCGAGGGAGCTGAGCATGCAACGTGATCACCTTCTAGAGTTTTCCGAGCTCTACATCATCCTAGTGGAGAAAATGAACAGTTCAACCGCATGAAGGGATTGAAGTCTCAACTATGATGTGGTTGATGTCTGCAAGGTGATGGAGAGATGCCCAAGGGTTGAGCAGGGCGGGCTAGCTTACACAGTAACACATAGAATGTCGAACTAAACCATACATCATCGTGGTTTTAGTTTAAATTTGAACAAAAATCACAACACTTATTTTTAAATGGAGGGAGTACATCATTTCTTGCCAAGAGAATCGATCGATCACTGGCCAGAAATGAAGACGCACGGCATCTTCATTTGACGAACACATGTATTGCTTACTGCCACTGATCATACACTTGTGGAATTTAACACACACGACAACACGCAGTTGATGACAGAGATAAAGAGTAGCAGCGCATATTTACAGAAGTAGATCTCATTGTGACATGCCGACATTTGCACACAAGGATCGATATGGAAGCAGAACCTCGCCAGCTAGCTAGGTACAACGACTATCGACTACTTAATTAAACAGCATCGTTTTTTAGTACACATGATGACGAGGTCCCGATCTAAGGAAAGGAGTGCGGTGACCCAGGACCATGCATGCACCAGCTAGCTAGCACAGGACGTCTTTGAGGAGCTTGTACCTGCGGACGGCCGCCTTGGCCACTCTCCGGCCGCCCTCCTGCTCGCCGCCGCCGGTCACCTTGACCTTGCCGCAGCCCATCCCGGTCGGCGGACCGCGGTGCTGCATGGCCGGCGGCGCCGAAGGGCGCCTGTTCTTCACGAGGGGGTCGTCGCTGAGGCACCAGTCGCACACGCCGGCGCCCGCGTCAGCCGGGGCCGCGTCGCCGTAGTAGTTCGTGCAATAGCTGCTTGTAGGAATGCAGGGAAACAAATTAACATGGGACTCATTAACACCTATCAAAATCTTGACAGTACCCCGAATAAGAGACTCCCTCAAAGAGCTATCAGTAGGAGAAAAATACGTACGAGTGTTGGAAGCGGCAGCGGCAACGGGCGCAGCGGAAGAGCTTGTCCTGGAAGCCGACGTCGCCGCACATGGAGCACACGGTGCCGGACATCAGGAACGATCGGGTGGCAGGCCGGCCGAGGGGACGGAGAAAGAAGCCGAGGAGATTATAGCTAGCTAGCAGTCTCGGTGCAGGAACTCAGGGGGCATGCGAGGAAGGAGTGGCAGGAAGGAATCGATGTGGATTGTGCAGCGAAGAAGAAGGGCTTTAAATACTGGGAGGAGGCGATAGGAGAAGATGAGACCGTGATCGTGGCAGCGGAACCGTGAAGGTGAGACCGCGGGGTGGGGGCCGCAACGGCGAGTTTGGGTACGGAGCCGGGCGGGTGGGAGACAGTCCACGTGTCCATGTGGAGTGCGTGCTGCGCGCAAAGCGGAAAAAGAAAAGGAGTGGCCGGAGTTACTGGGTCGGTTACCTGGTTGATATCCAGAGAGGGAAAAGCCATTCATTTATTTTAAAAAGAAAATAGAGAAAACGTTTTACTCAAATTATGACTGGTTGACCGTCACTGATCTGACCAGTCACTGGTTATCCGTGGAGTACGTTTCTAGACCTTTTTTTTGCCCGGTTTAGGTATACAAACAACCAAACCATACAACAAACTTAAGTGCTGAAAAATAAATACTACATCTGTTCTGATTTATTAGTCCCGTGAATTTTGATTCGGAATTTGACATTTGATTTATTAGTCCCTTGTTATCCAAGATCACGCCTTTAGATAGTGTTGGTACACCAACATGCCACTGTGTACTCTTGATGATGGAGTGATGCACCGCGGCTCACTCAAATAAGACCCGGCCGAAAGTGCAGTGCACAAGCACTCCGACAAGCGCTTTTGCAGGCCCGAAAACCCTACACGTCCGCGAGCGACACCGTTTGGACGTGTGGTGGCTATGGGCTGCTCTAAGTCGGTCTAACCGCTCCTAAAGCCTCGAGGATCGTTGCTCTTCAACACGAAGAACGAAGAATGAGAGAGAAAGAACTTAGGACAGGTGTAAAAACTAGGAAAAAGGTGGTCGATGTGTTTCGATTGTGTGTTGTTCAACCGACCATCACCTCTCATTTAATTATGAGATGGTTGGATTTCCTATACCAGAAAAGCACTACAAATCCCGTCCATGTTCTTTAAAATTAACCGAACTCGCATTTAAGTCTAAGACAACCATTTCGTTTTTGGATCCATAGACGGCATACGATCTTGGATGGTCAAGCACCCAAAAGAAAATTTATCTGTTTCGACGAGACAAACAACCTTTGTGTTGAACATTTTTCGATTTAAGTCCGTCTTAAGGGTTGAATCTTTCACAAAAAAAGAAAAAAAAAACATGTGACAACTGATAACTCTCGACATGTCTCAGACATGGGTTATATGGGTGTCTGGTCCTGGCTGATACTTTTCATTAGTGATCGGACCGCACTGTGTTGGCCCTAACTATTACATACAATCTCAGATTGAGATTATTCAAATATCAAAATTGATCGTCTCAACCAGGCGTAGTAGACATTCCAGATATAACACTTTTTCATCTGTTGGTGTAACCGGCCGAACAATATTCCAATCATATTTTCAGCCCTCGAGATGAGATCGGATGGCGATCACCCAAACAGCAAAATTTCCAATTTCGACGATATGAAGATTTTTCATGCTGAAATCTTTTTCCTTTGAGGCCATCTTAATAATGTTTTCTATCATGTCAAAAATTGGTGTCGGTTCATGCTCCTTTGTTTTTTCGGCAAAGCTTGTGTGCCGTAAAATAACTTGCACAACACATATTCTAAGGATGAGGTCAACACTTGATTGTCCATTTTGCATGTACTTGGGGGCAATAAGTATATATCGGCCATCTTTAATCTTAAGGCGGCAATTGTGTATCGGCCATTTAGATTAGCAACAAAACTGCAACTAATCGAATGTATAGTGATTTGGTAATACCCTCTCATGATGTATGAAATTATAAGGCGGTTGGGCTTTCTGTACAAGAAAAAGACTATAAATTACTTCCAATTTCTTTTAAAATTAACCAAACTTGGATTAAAGTCTAAGACAACGGTTTAGTTTTTGGTATCCACAGGCCACATAAAACTCAGATGGAGATGCCCCGAAAAGCAAATGTATCCAGTTCGAGGAAACAACCAACTTTTGTGGTGAACATTTCTTGATTCGAGGCCATCTTAAGGGTTGAATCGCTCGTGAAAAACAAGTGACAAATAACAACTCTCACACTAAAAAAAGTATTAGACATGGGTTACATGGGTGTCTGGTCTCGGTTGAAACTTTTCAGTAATTACTGCTCGGGCTGCACTATGTTAACCATAACTATTGATCTTGGATTGAGATGATTCAAATATCAAAATCGATCGCCTTGACCAGGTGAAGGCACTCCAAGTAGAACACATTTTCATCTAAGGTCGTCTTGGTGGCATACACTACAAAAAAAAAGACACATCCGTGACATTTTGGGCCGAATGAAATTTTTTCTGTCATACATATGACACTTCTATGACGATAATTGTGACAAAACCCGGTATCATCATAGATGTGGTGGGCTCCTACTTCTATGACAAAAAATCATGACAGAAAATTGGTTTTTCGTCCTGGGCGGGCCGGAGACGTAGCTGCATGACATTCTTTGGATCGTCCATGACGGAAAAAACCATGGTAGAAGCGAGGCGGAGGAAAATTTCGGGGAGTTCCCGGTTACGGTGGGAGGTCGGGGGCCGAGCGATGCGTGTTTCTCTCGTACACGTACGCGTGTGTGTGCGAGGGGTTGGCTCTAACTGAACCCGAGCGAGGCGTTGGGCTCTAACTGAACCCGAGCGATTGCACTGCAGGCTACGCGTTACTGAACCCGAGCGATCGATCGATGGCTGTTAACTAAACCCGATCGAGCGATTCCTTGGCTACTACTGCTAACTGAAGCCGATCGATGTTGCCTCTGCATGAACAGTG